ATTGTTTAGTAGAATGGTTGCCAAGCAACACAGAGACGCAGCGGCACAGTAATACATATGTAATGACGTCACAGGTGTTTATGTGTTTATAGAGTATTTTACAATATCTTCAAACGCGGCTCAGCCAATCATACCTCATCAAGGATCGGAATTATCCATTTAATATTAAAAACTATCAGGATAATCGGATGCTAAGGTATAGTGTTTTTAGCATGTGGCTTTGGTGTTCTGGGTGGTTGCTAAGCATTGTTTGCTTGCCCGATGCAAAATAGCCCAGCACTTTTCTATAGTATTGTTTAATATCTATAGGTTTTTCACCAGTTTTATCACCCAAAAATTATCACTGTAAAAATAATGAATTTTTCAAATAGATTTCTCAAACATGCTCTCCTATTGTTCCGAAAAATAGTCCTGCCCCAAATGCACGCCACTGGTTGAGACAGGAGTTAAAATGTCGGGCCGCTCAAACAAAAAGAGTAGTGTTTGACAGCGTCACCGTGTTTACCCACTTCAGGAAGTCAGCCAACCGGGTTTTAACATTGACAAAATTACACACTCCACCTTTAAATCTTATGCTTGGCGGAAAAGCAAATGCTGGACGTGGGTAGCTTGTGGTTGTATGTTGCCTGTATGACATGTGAGTTTTTTTTCTGTGTCTCTGTCAGGCTGGAGAGGAAGATGACAGCTCTCAACCCAGTGCTGTTCCTGCTCTGCGGTGTCTCTCATGTACTCCAGATAATTAGGTGCAGAGAGGTGTTATGAGGTAAACTGCAGTTTGATGTTCCTCAGGACCAGAATTTTTATTTCCTGATACCCCAGTTTTCTGTAGCATAATGACAACACAAAAAAGAGTTACTCAATTACTGAAACATAAGGCGTTAGCTGAAAATGATCTCAAAATATGAACCCTATTTCAGCGTTGACTAAAGAAACAGTTATTATGTACAGCCTGATGGAAACTGGCGGGAGTCTTTTGAGGACAACTTCAGTATCTTGCCTTAAAGTCAGCATGAAATGACATTCGCAACCCATTATACTTCCATAAGTAGCCATATTTCCGATTGAAACAGGATATTCAAGTGGAAAAAAATGTAGAATGGGAGTTGATTTTATCCATAAGCACTTAATTGGATTGTGAAAAGTGGATGTTATGTACCAGACTATAGCTCTCTCTCTCTCTTTCTATCTCTCTCTCATTACTCACAGAGGGCTTGCTCTTCACTTTAATGTGTAACATCAAATATTATTTCACGGCGTAATGAAAGCTGCTATACTAAAATGCTCTCGCAGGCCATGTGACTGTACATATTAAAGCTTAATTTAATGCAGCATTGATTGTGAAGGTCATTCTTGTGTGCTGAGACAGTGAGTGTGTATGTGTGCTTTCCTTTAGACAGAAGTAGGCATGTACATAATCACCAAACTGCACACACACACAAATGGGAACACGTGTGCATAATGACAACACAAAAAAGAGTTACTCAATTACTGAAACATAAGGCGTTAGCTGAAAATGATCTCAAAATATGAACCCTATTTCAGCGTTGACTAAAGAAACAGTTATTATGTACAGCCTGATGGAAACTGGCGGGAGTCTTTTGAGGACAACTTCAGTATCTTGCCTTAAAGTCAGCATGAAATGACATTCGCAACCCATTATACTTCCATAAGTAGCCATATTTCCGATTGAAACAGGATATTCAAGTGGAAAAAAATGTAGAATGGGAGTTGATTTTATCCATAAGCACTTAATTGGATTGTGAAAAGTGGATGTTATGTACCAGACTATAGCCAGATCTGCATGGGTGTTTGCTAAAACAGTGCCTAAATAGTTATTTGGTTTTCGGTTATCTTTTGTTTTTTTTGACCATCGTAATTTTTAATAAAAATGTCATAACTTGATCTTCTCTGGAATGCTGGACTTCTCCAATCATTTAGTCCACTTAAACCTCTGTCCATTTTTGCAATCAACTGCAAGCTCACATTCAGATCTGCCTCCATTGTGTCAACTACCAATGGATAGAACCAAATCCCCATCCAAATTTTTTTAGCACTAATTTATGTTGCACTAGTTGTCCTAGAATTGGCTCATAGTGGCATAGATGTACTGCACAATCATACAAGTTTTAGGTATTGATTCCATTGTTGAAATGTGCTATTCACAGCCAGCTACGATTGACTTATTGCATAAACAAAGGTTATCTGATAACAAAAGAGTTACCAAGATAATGAGTAGTATTTGGTTGGTCATGTGCTCACAAAATAGTGACCACCCCATGTAGAATAAGAATAATACAGCTTTTATCAGGCGAATGATATCTCACGTTAGTGTCCATAATTTTAAATTATTCTCTAAATAAGTACTATTCATTTCTGCAGGGGTAAAACTTTTTTAATGAGCACAAGATTACTGAGTGCAACTTTAAGAAAGTAAATAGAGTCCATTTTGATTTCATGGTGATTTTAAATGTTATGAGTCATGTTATGAGAGCGCACTTCAATGCAGCCTTGAAAAGACACTCGAAATCCACACATTTTAGATCACTTAAAGCACAGCCTTACAGAGACTTTTGACCATGGGGATGTTGAAGGTACAGTATTTTAAAGGTTTTTTGAAGGCACTCTAAAATTACAGTTGTGCAGGACTGCCACCTGTGTGATAAAAGCATGTAATGTCTAATACAAAGATGTACTCAAATTTGTACATGCTGGCTTTCCTCTTATAGGAATGTCTGAGGATACCATCTGTGGCTTGCTGTGAATTTCCACAAAAAATATTTTTACTGCACTCCATTTGTAAAAAAGAAAAGAAAAAAAGTAGCACCACAACTCAGGTAACACACAAAATTCATATAGCAAATTTAGTAAAAACACAAGCTTCATATTTTCCAAATTCTTATGTGCAATTGACAAGGTGTACTCCAAGACTGAAAGTAGCCAGTAATATTTCTTTAATGAAATGGGGAAGTGTGTTGAAACCAGCAAGAGAGTTTTATTGGACTACTGGTACGCTCTGCACTGTTCAGCTAAGTGACGCTTCTGACTGTATTGCAGCAGAATCAAAGCTTCAAAGACACTATTAAATGTCAGACACATCAACATCACTCTCCGTGCTGAAGATGAAATAATAACTCTTTCCCTTTCCATCTGATCATCTCAGCAGAGGCCCAAGGCATGACCCAAACATCAGTATGTGTACACGAATGTGTGCGTATTCGTGACCGAGCGACACAAACACACATCTCATCAACACAGTATGCATTCCTCTTGATGTGTTTTAAAGGACTTCACAGCTGTAATTGAACAAGGCCATGCTCTGATTGGTTATGAAATATCAAGCTCTAATTGTCTTTTGCATTATGGATTATGAAGATGTTGAAATTTGTATGCAGATTCATGAAAAGAGATTTGAGAAACGAGGGGTAAAATGTCAGAAGAAGTTAAATGGTTCTATTCTAAAGAAATTATTTAAGTTGATTTAAAGCTGATTCATTGATGCGATTTACAATATTTTAGCTGATAATATTCATATTAGGCTTGTAAAAAGAACATTTGGTGATTTCAAGGAAGGGCAAGACCTTATAAAACAAAATTTACCTTGCAAATGGACTCTAATCAAGGTAGACACCATGTTTAATTTGACGTGAACGAAACCAAGGCTGTGAGGAGCGGAAGTGCAGTATTTTTAATGGGTTGTACTGTCTTTTTAATGTTTTTTTTTTTTAAATCTATATTTCTTTGTCTAACAGCAATTGTACTGTAAATTGCTATATAGCATAAATATAGCATCTGTCTTGACTGGGTCCCTTCTCTCACTAATATTTTATTGGTTATCCATGAAATGCAGTATATTAAATGCTTTGTTCAAGTCCTCCTGTTTCGTTTTTACGAGTTGGGAAGTCAGGTGCGTTCAAATCCCTGTTTGGCCGGAGAAAGATGCCGATTTACTTTTATTCAGTTCAAGTTTTTATTCAATTTGTGAAGCTCCTGCAAAAATTGTTGTCGTAAATATGATTTTTCCAACATGACTTAAATGCAACCGAAAGGTAATTTTCATGACTTTGATGCATCTTTTGTTTATGTTGCACAGGTTGTCTTCTTTTTATACTGACACCTAGTGGTGTGGACGGAGCATCATGCAAAATGTAAATGTTGTTAGTTACTGATGGGAGCATATGTAAATGCATTCAGAATTAGCTTTGATTAATTTATTCAGCAATCAGAAATGTTGAGTATTATAGAGAAAACCTAGACTAAGTTAGTAGCATTCAGCTGGTCATGTGATCTCATTATGACATCCCCCATGAGGCAACTCGTGTCATGTAAAATAAAACAGCGTTTATTAAACTACTAATATGATATATCAAAAGTACTATTTCTTTACATATAAAACATTTTAATGAGGGAAACTTTAAGGGTTAAGGGGTGATACAGCATGTGTGAGCAAAAGATGTTTGTATCTAAATATCTAATGATGGAAATCTGTGTTTATACAGTGAATGTGAAAGTTTAACGGTATAAATGAAAGAAATTCCAATTAAAACAAACCAATACAATTCTGACACGCACAAACACATACGCACGCTCAAAGTGTCAGTTCATCCTGTCTCATTAAGCAAGTTCCTCTCGCTCACTCTCAATCTATGTCTGTTTTTTAAATGCTAATGATGGATTAGCCCGTGCTCTGGCCTCAGGATTTTCTCTCTTTATTCCCATGTTTGTTTCAGTTCTCTCTCTCAGGTCTTTCTCTTTTCTCTCGCTGTCATGTTACTGTGACCCGCGGACCCTCACTCTTTATGAGAGCCAATGAAAGGCCTCCAACGATAGAAAAGACTTCAATCCCTCTTTTCTCCATCTTAGTCAACTAAAGGAATTTTTCCATTACTCCCCTCTGAGCTGTGAGAAAATTGTTCTCTCCCATTGGTTAACAAGCCACCTGCTTGCCCAGCGAACCTGCTCGACCTCCGTCGCCATGGCGAACCAGAGGCGGAGGTGAGCGGATGAGAGGTATGGGAAAAGATCAGAGACGAACAGTCGCACTATTGTCCGACAGAGACCTGCTCGAGGTTGGCGGAAACTCTGAAAGGTCTGTGTGCGGTCGAGGAAAGGTCGAAACAAGGGGTGGGTAGGAAGACACTCGGGCGGCATGGCTTGTCGTCATGGAAATGTCCTCAATTTGCCTGATGCATTCTTCTGACTAAGACAAATTAGAGGCGGACAAAGCATTTTTTGCGATCGCTGATCCGAGAGACTCCATGGGAACAGTAAATAAGAGCAGCAGTGCATTGTGGGTGATTAAAATCACTTGTTTGACCCAAAACACATCAGCTTAGAAATATGTGATACGTAATGAGTTTATATGAATATACCTACTCAAAATAACCATAAAGCACGGAGAAGCAAAGGAGCCCCGTTCCACCTCTTCCTCTCGCTCTCTCTCTTTCTATCTCTACAGAGAGCAGTAGGAAATGGAAATGCACACTTTATGGGTCTGGGTGATTGGATTTGCATGGCATCAAGCCAGCACAAACACACACACGCAAACACACACACTAAGACACAAAGTGTCTGAGAGAGCAGTGGTAACTCAAAGTCAACATGACGGTTTTACTGGGGTGCAGTTGCTCTCAGTGTCTAAAGCAAACAGCCATTTACTGTTGCACTAAATACCGACTAGCATTTGCCTCAATATCAGAGAGAGAAATTACCGTCTCAAATTCAAGCAGGGAATGGAAAATTAGAAACCAACATTTGAGTTTCCTCTTAAAAGAATGGCCATTAATGTGCGAGTGCGTCAAAAGAGCCAATCGAGATTGTCAAAATGAATTTTAGATTCCTCCAAGCATGATTATATACCATATCTCTCAATTGCAAATAACTGTTTCATCTTTGAAACTCTCATTCTCTCATTTAATGGAAAATAGGACTTGCAGTGTACTCAATTCTCTTGGTTTTTCTGTCCAAACTCTTGCATTTATTTCTGAATGCAGTGAATTGATCATAATTGCTGTTGAAAAGCCATTTTTACTCTCTCGTGTGCAGAAGTACTCACTTTACGTTTTACTGCAACACTTCAAATTGGCTTTAGACACATTTCAGGTTTCTTTTCATTGTGTGTAAAAGCCTCTGGAAACCTGCTCGAGTCTGTCTAGCCCACCTGTGGCAGGATGACAGCGTGTGGCGTACTTCTGCTTTATTGCGTTTGATCAGAGGCCTTTGCCAAGTCTTATTAAGATGTTCCAGTTTAAGTAAGTGCGAGATATACTCTATATCCTTAAATGGCTCTTGGTTAAAGCAGAACATTTGAATTAGATGAGATACAGTGGTTAATTTAATAGTACTCTAATTGACTCCAGTGGTTGGGCATTCCACGGTAATATCACAGAGGACTGCCTTCTGGTTGAAAGAGGGTGATAGAGACGGGAGGAGTGAGTAAGAGTGACAAAGACGGAGAGTGAATGTTAGGAGACCTCGAGGGATGAGGTGACCTACAATTAGTGACAGTAACATGATAACTCAAGGCCAACAGCAGTCCATAAGCATATTTCATAATTGATTACAGAATATCTTCGGAGGACGAATATTTATTCAGACCTAGTTAGGGCCAATTTTAGGGCGTATTAATGAGGAAACGAGGCTTAAAACGAGACCTGTGCTTTCTTTTTCTTCCCTTTTCCGTTAGATGTTGAATTATGCAATTATGTAAATTGAAGGTTGATGGCTGCAGAGGAAAACAAGTTCCATAACAAGTATTCATCCCATGTGACCATGATGGAGATCTGTTCAGTCCAGTCAGTGTTCTTATTCTTAACTGTTATGATAAAAAAAAAAAAAAAAACTTGTCATATGTCTTGTATGTCCATATACATCTCTCTTTTTTGTTACCCTATGATTCTGACCATGGGCGTAGATTACGCGGGGGACGTGTCCCCCCCACTTTTAATATCACGTTAATTCGTCCCCCGCACTTTTTCGGGCAAGTGTGTTCGCATAGAGGTTTTCAAGAGCCGGTGTGAATAAATATAGATTTAAATTCAAAGAGACAGGATAGTCTGTGCATGATCTGATGTTTTATTCGGACCCAGAATAACACTCTGTGCAGTGTATGTTTCATTCATACTCGAAGCCAGAGGGCGCTCTCACGCAGAAAGTCGTA